ATCTACTATTTAGAAGTCATATTGGACCATGTCATTAATTATTTAATTTGACATATTTGATTGTTACATTGTCAAATATATATTATTTTAAAAATATCTTAATAATTAATAAATATATTAATAATAAATGAATTTAAATACAAAAAAATCTGTTGAAAAAATCTAACAAGATCTTACCAAAAATTTAAATATTTTTTTTATAAATAGGTATTTCTTTATTTACTTATTAGATATAATTATAGTTAAAGCTAAAATATAAATCATATATTTAAAAATTTTAGTTATATATTTATAAAATAAAAAATATACTCGCACGAATGTGCGGGTGAAACTCTAGTTTTAACTTATACTCAATAAAAAGCATGCTTAATGAGAAGCCGTTTGCTTGGTTTAGTCATAATGATAGAGAGATGTAGAAACATAGGAAGAGTGGGAAATTCTCCTAATTTACAAAAAAAAAAAAGGGAACTCCTCGGCTTCACTTTTGCGTGGGAAATTCTCAAGTTTTAAGAAGTTTGTTATCTTGCCTCAAAATAGACAAATGGACATCAATAATTGTTGAAAATGAAAGTAACCTAAATTTCGGTGCAGCAGTGAAAGGTACATTTGTCAGAGAGGCGTAGACGCTAGGTAGATTGGCTCATTATCAGATTGACTCTAGAAGTGGAGGGGTGAAGGCCCTGTAGTACGATATATATTTTTGTGATTATAAAATCGTTATAGTAGATAAGAAAGTTCTCTAAATAAATAACAGGTTTTTTAAGGTGTTTAAATACGAATTTTAAAATCGTAAATTATCTATGCACACCATCATTGTACATATGAAGAAAGAAACTTGGTTGTCAAAAAAAAAAAACTTGCTTTAGACTTTAGAGAGGTTTGGTTTCTGTAATTCTTTTGCTTGGTTTATAACAAATTTTACATCAACAAGGATAATTTACATGATGGCATCAAGTTTTTTTTTTTTTTTGAACTTAACTTTGATGGCATCAAGTTGACCTAAATACTAATATATATATATAGCTTTATTGTGTAACTTGTGTTATGTACGGAAGCTGGATTTATTTTACATAAATATATTAAATTTCAACATGCTTATGTATAGGCTGACACCATCGAAAATATATGGGACGAGAACGACGCCGAAAGCATCTTTCAGTATGTAAATGATAATGATGATCTCTTCTTGTAGTGTTTAAATATTAATCATCTCAGAATTTTTACTTTTTTGAGAAATATAATTTTTAACTTTCTAAACATGTAAGTTCGTGTTTGTATTCTTAATTCCTTAGAGCATTTCTAAAAACAACTTTATTTTTGAAATTGGCAAAACTTGAAATTTAAAATTTGGAACTCCTCCCTTAGAAATAACAATTTCAAAATAAACTTTAAAAATTTATATTTTACATTATATTTCTTTTTATTAAAAAGTTAGCAAAAATTACAAAACAATTAGCAATAGAACATACAATAAAATATTATACACACTATTATTAGTAAAATAATGAATATTAATAACATATTACATGCATTTTGGAATAATAGCTGAGTATTTTTATTTATATTTGTTGATTACAAGCTAAAAAGTATTGAAATCTCGTAGTTTCGTTAGTTAATGTAATAATTTCATTTTTATATAACTTTCTCTTTTTGTATTTTTCACCTTTGTATTATGTATTGTCATATTGTTTTGTATAATATTTTACTTTACTGTTATTAATATATTTGTATTTTGCATAATAAAATATATAAAAATTAAAATGGTAATTATAAAAGTTAACAGCTTTATTTGTATGATAAATAAATGAAAGTACCTAAAAATATGGAATTTCAAATATGAAATTCCACTCTTCAAAATTTAAAAATTTGAAGTTTAAAATTGCTTTTGATGCATGAGAACTTCATAATTGAAGTTTCTTTTAAAGATGTTCTTATACAATACCTCACCAGTGACCAAATATGGCTCATTTGTGGAAAATAATAGTGGTGGGTACGGAGCGAATATCCAGAATTTTAAAAATAATCCGTGCGGAACGTATAGTTGATTTTTTATTCAATCCGTAATTTTTAGGATATTTGGTGTTTCGAATATCAAAAAAATCATTTTTTTGGATATTCGATTAGATCCATAAAAAACAAAATATTTTTTTTGAAAAAGAACAAAACTAAAATTTTACTCAATTATCAAAATATAAAACTGAATAATATTTTAAAAATTTATAGATGTTATAAATAAACTAACGGTATTGGGATTAGAAAATTACAATTTTTTAAAAGTCCGCATAAAATTTTAAAGAATTATTATTAAGAAAAATTGCATAATTATAAAAGTAGACTTAAACAATATTTCAAATATTTTTAACTATTATTATATGTCTATTTCTTCTATTATATTATTTATTGTTATATTAATAAAGATTTATGAGTTACCATATTTAAAAAAATTACCAAAAATATAATTAACATTAAATGTATGTGTCACCATTAATTCCATGTCGTGTCATTGTTATTAGTGCACATGTCATTATTTTTGGTAAAATTAATTGTGGTAATGACACATTCCAAAATCACTTCACAAATAATGTATAAGAGATGTTGTATTAAAATAAGATTTTTTACTTCAAAAAAAGTTACATACTTTTCAAATTTTATTAACTAAATAATTAATTTAGTAAAATATTTTAAAACTTGTATAAATATACATATATATATATATATATATATAATTGATCGAATAGGATTATACGTTTTTAAAAATATCAGTATTTATGGTCTATTTTCATTTTTGACTGATATTATTTTGATTCGTAATGTTACGGATATTCAAAAATTTTAAGTCAGAGATGAAACAAAAAACAGGCTCTAGCTGACCTCTATCCACCTTTTAGAGATACTAATATTTATTTATAGTATTATACATAGTATACGACTTAATATTTATTTTATAGTATTATACATAGTATACGACTTGTTATTGGTTTTATAATTTTAACGAATAAAACATATTATACAATATATATATATAATTTTTTGTGTTAAAATGTTTTATACAATATGGCTTTTAATACAACCTATTATACAATATAGTGCTTTGGTTGTTGTTAAATGGTAGATGAAATATGAGAATATGTTATAATATTTCTTTTGGGGTTTGAGTTTTTCTTGAAACAAAATCACAGTTATATTAATAGTTGGGAAAATTAATTTTGTTTAGGCCAAAAAATAGTAACATTGTATATTTAGTTTAATTTCTATTTTGTACCATTTTTTTCTAGTGCTCTTTAGTATTTCCGAAAATAAATTAAATAAATAGTTTTACAAACAAAAATAAAATCAGAAAATAGCAGCTAGTTATAAAACAGCTATATCATTTTAGTGGTATTTTTTCAAGTTCTAAAAATGTATATATCATTTTTTAAATTATGTTCTACATAAAATAGAACTAGTATTCTACAAAGTAGAAATGGAAATTCAATTTTTTTTTATTATTAAATCTACTATATTTAAAATACGTGATCTACGTAAACAGAAATATTCTAAAAATATTTACACATTCCACGCTTACACTGTCCCTCTAAAATCAGTAGAAAAAAATATCTACACATTACTATAAAATCTAAAATAAGTAGAAATCAGAATCTACACATTATTATAAATCTAAAACCCGTAGAACTTAATTTCAAACATTATCATCGTATTTTACATATAGTAGATACACATTCTACAGATAAGAATATTCAGCTCTGAAAATATGGCAAGAAAATATTTGGAAATATTCAGTTTGTCATATATTAAAAACCGATTTTTTCAGAAGAAAATAAGTTTAAAAAAAAACGTGCATATTTTTATTATTTTAATATTGTTTACAACGCATTAATTTTTTTACAACACTTTAATTTATAATGTTTTCTTTTATTTCAATTGATTTAAGTTTTTAAAATATTTTAATATTTAACCATTGCTTTTTAATTGTAATTTTGATTTTTTAAGTGAAATTAAGGGCATCATTAACATTTTGCAAATATTTAGTCTAATGAAACATAAAATATATGAAATTAGTTTAATAAGACATAG